AATGGTAAATAAAGCATGCCCATCATTTCTCTCATAATAATTCACTTGAACTCTACCCGCAGTGGGGAAGGTTTAAAAAAGGGTCACTACTGCATTGCCCTTTGAATAGTAACAATTCTTCATTAAAGGTATGATGAATTGTTCGACATGAAAAGATTCCATGCATAATGACTAAAGGAACGACTACACTTGATTAAAATCCCAAATTATTCATTTTCGTTATGTAGGACTAATTTAAATGTTTAACTTTCAATGATTATTGGTATTTTACATGCAGATGTGTCCGGTATAACTTTATCATGTTGTGATCTAAATGATATAATTGCCTCGAATATGCTAAATCAACAAAACGCCACGGCTTCGAATCATTCTTAGCTTTGAAAGTTTTCCCGTTAATATCTTTTTATCGAAATACTTTTTTTCTCGTTTTATTCTGTTATTAAATCTAATTTTTATTATGATAAATTTGTCTTATTCCAACTAAATCGAGTTGAATACTTCAGACAAATTACGACTCAAATAGCATGACCAGGTATCGGCTCCATCTGCTGCGTATGTAGGTTTAAAATCACTGGCCGAGAGGGAGGGAGTACAAGAAAATGCTTGCTGTAGGCATATGTTGGGGCACATTCTATTGATACATATTTAAAGGGAATGCATATGTCATGCGGACATGTGTTCCCGCCCCTCGATTTGGCACTGGTTTCGCTTTCGAGTTATGATTGATCGTAGCTTTGCAACTGGTGAATAACTATTCACGCAACGGTGGGCCCCGGGTGTCGGCCCCGGGTTCCCAAGGCGTCAAGCTGCTCTCATTACCTGTGGAATGAAAACGATAGAGGACAGATTGTCACTGACATTAACACAATAACCCGCTGAGAGATGGCACTACCCATCACCCTCACGCATCTTGAAGTTGAAGGACGGGCAGTAGCGTAGCCCGGCCAGTGCGGGGCACCGGTGTTGACACTAGTGGCGGAGAGGCAATGGTCTTTATTACAATTTAGATGAAATGCGAAAGAGCTAGACGATTGAGAGGAGACTGGTCGAAATTCTAAACATGTTCGCACTTTTTAGTGAAAAAGGCGTTGATATTATTCTGTCACCACGGGTATATTGTTAAATGATCATTGGTTAATCGAAATTTATGATAACAATACTAATAATTGTTTGAACATATATGTGACTTACACCCAGTAAATAAGATTGATTGATAAGCCACAAGTATGTTTTAAACAATTGGATTTTCTCCCAGGAAGCATTACAATTAAAAAATACTAATAATATTATGGCATTATAGAACGATTGATACATCGATGATTTCGCTATTAAAGCGTTTTACAGATATTACCACGATCATCTCAGTCAGGCTTGTCCACAGTCAATGCATCACATTCTATACTTCCTGGGGAGCATTCCAGCCAGGCACTATTCAATTTCTAAAGACGCTCAAAAAACTATTAAAGCAAACTACAATAAATTACGCATCCTATGTGGGTGTAGTAATTATTCATCATGGTGCGAGAGGTGGGAGAAACACTTTCTCAAACGTGTTAGGTTGTAGAGATTTGTTTCAACGCAATAATTTCAACGCAATAATCAAATATAGCGTTGGCCAGAGGTGACGCTCTACGGTCCGTGATTTTAGTTTGTATGTTTTGTGTTGTTTTCAAAGCGTGGGATGTTTAAACATGTTTAACGAGCCTTAAATATATACTCTAGGAATTAAGGTGAAATAAGACGTTTCCCTCATTCCCCTCCACTCCCTCCCTTCTTCTCTCCTCCCCTTATTTCTCTTTCTTCCCTTTATACGTCAGATTATAGAGCGGGCTTAAATCTGCCGATAATTGGACATTTCGCGAACACCCCAAATCACTCAACTGCGATGTATTGTCACTGATATTAACTCAGTCACACGCTGATGGATCGAACAATTCATCAACCTCTCTCATCTAATGAGAATAGGATCAGCCTAGGGAGACACACAGAGGTACCTCTTCCCCCCCCCCCCCCCCCACCGCTCTTTGTTTTGTAGGTCATGTTATAAGATGCTTTCTCCATTTGATGACACGTGTGATACCATTCTCCCTGTCGCTCTCTCTCTCTCTCTCTCTCTTTCTCTTTCTCCCTCTTGCACACTTCCCAAACTTTTTTTTTTTTAATCATTAGTCTTAATCTTCGTATCCTTTAGTCTTCTCCTTCACCTCCTTCTGTATCGTCTTCTCCTTCTTGTATTTTTCTTTGTTTATATTAATCTTCTAATTTTCTTCTTCTACTTATTCGTCTTCTTCGTCTTCATCTTCTTCTTCTCCCTCTTATCCTCTTCTCCTTCATTTCCTTTTGTATCGTCTTCTCCTTCTTGTATTCTTCTTTGTTTATATTATTCTTCTAATTTTCTTCTTCTACTTCTTCGTCTTCTTCTTCTTCATCTTCTTCTTCTCCCTCTTATCCTCTTCTTCTTCATCTTTTTCTTCTCCCTCTTATACTCTTCTTCTTCATCTTCTTCTTCTCCCTCTTATACTCTTCTTCTTCCTTTTCTTTGCGTTGACGACTTCTTCTCGTCAATGCGTTGTTTACGACCGTGTTCTGAATTTTCCTTCTTCTTTTTCTGCTTTTACTTCTTTTTCTTCCTCTCCTTCTTATTTCCGAAATCCCATTCGGCTGGCGAGCCCTACCTAGTTCCCTTGCTCGATCCCGAATTCTTACTAACTTCGTTGGCATTCGTAGGCATCTCCGAAATCACTCATGCGTGACTGTTCAGGCACCATGTTGTTTTTTCAGACAGGTTTTTAAGCCTTTATTTCGGTCTAACTATCTCCATCATCCGAGATGCTACGGACTTCCAACACATTGTTCTTGATATTCCGCGAGAGGCTTTTTCGTCTGCCATGTAAAAACGGGCATCAATGCATGCATATTATTGTTCTAATACGATTGCAGTTCTATTCTTCTTCTTCTTCTTCTTCTTCTTCTTCTTCTTCTTCTTCTTCTTCTTCTTCTTGTTTTGTCTAATTCTTTTTCTTCTCTATCCACATTGTCATCATGCAATTTTAGGATTGCGTAATTCGAGTTAAGTTATTAAAGTGAGGATACTAGAAGGCTGATCCCATTTTGTATAATATCTTCAATCACTTGCAATAATGGCAATCTGGAACTTCATATTATATAAACATGATTAAGAATCACTTTCCCGAATCGATATATATGCTGTATGCAACAACAATAACTACCTAAAGTTTCCAGTTTGTTCATATTCAATTGTTCTCTATTATTAGGGACATTTAGATTTGCACGACGAGAACGTGGACTGCCACATGTGACATCCTTTTAAGGCAGTGTGACGTCCTTTTCAGGCACTGCTGGGCACTGCCAGTGCCTTAAAAGGACGTCACATTGCCTTAAAGGGACGTCACATTGCCTTAAAAGGATGTCACACGTGGCAGTCCACCTTCTCGTCGTGCAAATCTAAAAGTCCCTATTATGAGACAGACTCTGGGATAAGATAGCTACATCCACATTTTCAACTGAAAAGTTTCAAGCTTATGTTATTGATCATCCATCAGAAACCAGGTCTCTACACATTGTACCCAAAATCCAGCACGTGATGCGCCCTTTCGGCGCCAAACCATGTCTTGCTTTCCCATTAGACAGATGTTTGGTATAGGCGGGCGGATGTAGACTTGACTCGAGGCGCTTTCATTGATTTTGATTACACAGATGGATAAAGTTTACCTTTTCAGGACGAAATTAGGCTAATTCATTGATAGGGTTGTATAGTTGCAGCTCCCGTGTGACAAGTGAACGTTGTGACGCAGCGGCGCAGCCAGCCGTTTGAATACGGGGAGGGGGGTGTTGGTTTGGTCAAATTTTCCCCTTGACATGCTAAAAAGATATGGCAAGTTTTAGAACTAATATTCTACGTTCGATAATTATTTGCTGAAATAATAATTAAGATAATTAGAAAAGGGTTCACAAGGTAGTATCACTCCAGTCCCCGCATTCGTATTCTTCACTTATAGCCCTCAATCTCCATTCCACAGGGTTCCAGATAGGTAACCGACCAGACGGTATAATTCTATACTTTGTTGTTCGTTTGTTTTATGTGATAGAGAGCCAGGAGTGTAAAGTCTGACGGTAATTAGCCTATACGTATATGCCTATAGGTAATAGACGAGTTTCAATTTCAAAATCCAATCTTTTTCATTCACCACCTTTTCATTCACCTGTTAAAATGGCACCTCTGTGGATGGGATCTACGTTGCGTACACACTTGTTATTATGTCGGGAAAGCTCGGACAATCTTTCAAGTTATCAAAATAAGTTTTAGTATGCATAAAATTAGTTAACTGGTGTACTAAACGCAAAAATCTAAAGTGTTCATGTTAAAAACACCCCCTTGTATGATGTCATCTTTCATGGTGCGTCAATACGAAGACCAGTGAAGCCGGTGACGCAGTCCTACGCCATTCAAATTACGTGCTGTGCGCAGCAGACATAATAACTCCAATTAAAAATATAAAATGGCCTGTGCAAGGTGTCATCTTCAGGCCTAGATCTGAATCAGATACTGGAGTGGGATTTGAATTGCGTGTAAGAAAAGAAACGAAATAAAAAGAGGGAATGCAAAAATAAACCAAACGAACGTTGCCTTGGATTAATAGCGCATGTACTGATTGACTTCGATCACCGGCTTAATTTGAATAGCGCTGCCAGAAACGCAATCGAAATGCCGCTTCGTGTCTAACATCCATTTGTGCATATATTCTGCAAAATAAACCAAATGAACGTTGCCTCGGATTAATAGCGCATGTATTGACTTCGATCATAGGCTTAATTAGCGCAGCTAGTAACGCAATCAAATTGCCGCTTCTTGTCCAACAACCTTGTGTGCATGATTCTGGTACAGCTTATCCCCATTTTGCCTCGTTTGACAACTAATTGCAATGTAAATGTCTTCTCTCTGTGTTTTTTTTTTCAGGTACAACGCAGCGAACTTTGTGGTGACTTATTGCGTGCCTCTGGGTATCATGGCTGTATGTTACACCATTATAAGCACCAAGCTGTGGGGCAACGGACTGCTCGGTGAAAACATACCCAACCGAGCCCGACAGATTACTGCCAAACGAAAGGTGAGTGCCCGGCCCGGCCAACTAGCTTGATTTTTTTTTTTTTTTTTTTTTTTTTGGGGGGGGGGGGGGGACAGATTGGTGTTGCCTTTTTATTTCGTCCTTACATGAATGGCTCAGTAGTGAAACAAGCGATTTTACCCACGCTACCATGTTTTACCATATTTTACATGGATTACTCTTACTGGGTATCGAAAAAGCTATGATTTTATTTATGATTTTATTTTTCCTATATCCTTGTATTCATATATTCATTTTATTCATTTATTCATTTATGTAATACTCTTTTACATTTGCATGATTTATTATTAACTTTGGCGAATAAAGCATTTTAAATAGGTGTTTTAAAGGTACTATGTCCCTTTTGCGGCCAACCTCAAATTCTGTAGAACTTTGCAGGAATTATGAATATGTCATGTATGTCCTATCTGTGAAATTTAAACATTAGCAGTGTCCTCATATTCAAATTATGCAAGGAAACCCGTTTACTTGCTAGACTTCACTGTCAGACACTATTGAGTGACTGACTGGCTTTTTTTCTTCTTTGGTAATAACATACATAAAAGAGTTGTAAAGAGTACATGAACATTTGTCTACATAAATAACCCACTTCTTGTGATGGCCAAGATTAAACTGATTGAATCTTCGCGCAGCATAAAACGTATGACCATTCGGTACAATCGTCTGAAAATCAAGACTATTACTTTTGGGCTCTATAGCCCTAAAGTCAATTTGACAACTAATAGTCGTTATTTTCCCACTTGAAGACATTTTCAAGCCCCATCTTTTTTAGGGAAGTTCTAAATTAGTATTATCTTTCAAATGCAGTTGGAATTTAACTTTTTCATTTTTTTGGCCTGCAAATGGGACATAGTACCTTTAATAACCTTTTCATTTTGTTGGTATTTCCTTTTCAAAGATATTTTTGCTGAATTCCCCCCCCCCCCCCCCACCACCACCACCACCGCTCAGTGAGTGTTGGTTGCGCCACTACTACACACTTGCTGAGTGGCAAGGTCGTTTTAATTCATGCCATGCCATTATTTATTTCGAATAACATTTCTCTGTACACAAAAAAAGGATTATAGAAGCATTTCGCCTGAGTTATGATCGTAGGAAATAACATCTTTTGAAGTAAACAAAATATTTAATCCTATTGAATGTTTTAATAATACTCAGATTTTAAAAAGTCCTTGGGATCCTGTACTTTTGTGCTTACGCTGGTTGCCTATGGAATCGGATGAAATAATATTTGAACATGTTGGAAGGGACTCCTTATTTTAATGCAACCATACTTATTTGGCAAGAAAATTACACGGAAAGGGTAAGAATAGTGAAGCTCTTTTATAACTCAGAATACACTAAAGAAAGAAAAAAAAAGACTTTACGTAGGTGGTTATACGTAGGAAAGGATTCCAGGTTTTATTCAATAACAACTTATCAAAGCTAGAGAAGTCGCAAATTTTGAGGGTTTTTAAATTATTTATTTAAAAAAAATATTATTAGAATAGAAACATGATTAATTACACGATAAACATACAAATAAGGGTAAATTTTTAAACGAAAGGTGTCCCTTTTGTTCTATTTTGGAATGTATTTGTTGTCTTCTCCTCATATCGGTGTTTATTCATTAGACGTATTTATTTACATTTCTACTGTCTTTCCATCGATGCTCACCCACTTTTCTCTCTTTTTATCTCTCATACTATCTGTCTGTCTTTCTGGATGACTGTTTCTAAACTATTTTTCCCTCCCCTTTTCAGATGCTCAAAATTATCGCGCTCCCTCTCTCTCTCTCTCTCTCTCTCTCTCTCTCTCTGTTTATATGACTGTGTTACGAACCTTATACATATTCACGTAGGTTAATTATGCGCATGAGCAGAATGAGGAAGCGAAGGGGGGGGGGGCTTTCATTAAAAACCCACTACTGTCAAAGTACTAGATATTCTGATTTTTTTTTTTTTTTTTTTTTTTTATATTGTTTCTGCATTTCCCTTTTATGTGTTGTGAAGTGCAGGAGGGTCTGATTAAATAATCTAAAATCACCCTGTTGTGTCAATAGTAGGTCTCATTTTTTCCAGAGTGTGTATGATTTAAAATGCAGGACAGTGTAGGATTTCAGTGGTAGTCATTTATAGGTCATCGTTGTCATACTATAAATTGTTTGTATTGCCCTTTAAATGAAGAGACGGAAATCTAGAACGATGAATTCCAACAGAAAACAGAGTATGATGCATTGTTTCAGGAACAACAACAAAGAAAACCGAATGCAATTGTTTCCAGAGAGAGGATCAAGGGTACTATAAACGAAAAGCTGAATCAAGGTACGCTTTCCAACAGAATCATGTCTGCTACTACAGAATTTCAAAAGAAAATAAAACAATCAGATGAAGGAGAGAAAGAGAGAAGGTGGGAAGGGGAGGCGAAGAACAAAAATGAAAAAAGTGAGTGGAGAAAGTGAGAGACATAGATAGATAGTGAGACAGACAGATCGCGAGATAGATAAGGTGGATAGATCGGTATACAGATAAAGGGGGAGAGAGATTAGGTGAGATGGGAAAAAAAAAGAGCGAGGGAGAGAGAGAGAGAGAGAGAGAGATAAGAAGAGGAAGTGGGAAGAGGAGGAGGATGGAGAAGAGATAAGTGATATACGATAGTACTCTCCAATATGGAACGGTCGTCAGATAAAACGAAAATTCCCGCTGAATCACTTGACGGAAAATACGATATGAAGAGAGCTTCTAAAGATTAAGTTAACATTCCTAAGTGCTGGTATAGTGTCTTCGTTAGGATGAATTAGATCGAATCTTCTCTGTTCTATGAGAGATAGGAAAATTGTTCCATTAGCGCAGGAGAATGAAGGCGCAGAGGAGCGAGTGACCCCCCCCCCCCCCTCCCTCTCACGTAAAAAAAAAAATGATAAAAAATAGTAAAGAAGGTTTTTCATACATAATCTATGTACCTGTCTTTTGGCAATACCCTGCCAATGCAGAAGGTTGGAAATGGCCCTTTTAGGAGTTGAATCCGCTGAAAAATTACCAAGAAACCCACTCGAGTCTGTAAAATAATGATGATAATAATAATAATAATAATAATAATAATAATAATCTTTTAAAGTCCACTCCAAATTTTATTAAATTAAACCGAAAATGGAAATTCTTTTTGCCCAATTGATCGTGAGCCCGGCAGCCACTGAGCAGCGCCAGATCGACGTTAGAGTTATCTTTTCAAAGTATATCCTCTATTTCAAGGGCTTAAATCTACTCCAAACTTATGATATGACATAAAAATGGTGAACGTCCACATAATGAGAGTAAATAAAGTTATGTTACTCCTCATTGGCATATTCTGATTAAGCTATCAGCCCCCTCCCTCTCACCCACACATACACTCACCCACACCCATCTTACCACTACATCTTTTTTTGTTTTTAAGCTGAACACTATAATAGAGGGCTAAGGGGTGTGTGGGTGGTCATCGGATAGTGGAGTGGGTGAGAGCATGGACCCACGGTTGGTTTGAGAGAAGTAGTGGGAGGATGGGAAATAGAGGGAAAGAGAGAGAGAGCGAGAGAGAGAGAGAGAGAGAGAGAAAGACAGAGCGAGATAGAGAGCGATAGAAAAGAGGAACAGTGACATACAGACAGGGGGATTGTGTTATCTACAAATATCTAATTTTTGTTTCAGGTGCTTTGTTTGCTGCAACTTAAAGATTAAATGACTAGTAACATGAAACTGACGTGTTAAATTATGGCTTATATCGCAGGGAAAAATAGCAAGTAAAATACAAAACCGAAACAAGTTTACTACTTCTTCTCTTTTATGTTTCCTTTTCAATGATATCAAGTGCTTTTTGTCATCTTATTTGTTGGTGCCTTCCCTTAGGGAAAGTTATGCAGATCCTGAAAATAATTACTAAAATGTGAGTGAAAATAATTACAATACCAATGCCCACATATCCATCCACATTAATAGACAAGTTGCTGTTACTTCTGGCGACAAAACCAAATTGCCGCAAAGATATTAAAATTTGTCATTTGATGTATGTTTCACTACAATTTTACACTACTGAGTTGCCAGCGACAAACATTGGAAAGTAGATTGATTTCTCCCTGTAGGCATGAATCTATTTCAATACATTTATTTATATTTCAAAAGCAATATTTCTTTCATTGGACGTATTGACATTTAAATGATAAGCGAATCATGGAAGCGTATACTAAAAGCTGAGATTATTTCGGAATTCATACATGCGATCAGTGAAAATTGTCATTGCTTCAAGAGGTTTTGAGGGGACAAAAGGGCTTTCTTTATTACTGTGTTCACAATTAAGTCCCAAACTCCCTAGATGTCTTGCCCATTTCTGCCATTTTCAGAACTGTTTGATTAAAGAATGTGCTTTTATATATTTCAATCAGAGGCTTTCCCAGAATGATAGATAGGCAGACCGATAGGATTTTCGTTTCGATAGGGGATGCAAAATTGGCTAAATCCAATCCCGAAGCCCTACTTTTGAACAGAGTCTAGTTACAAGATGGATAAGAGAAAGAGTAGGTTGCCGTCCACCCCCCCCCCCTCCCGTCCTTTGCCATCCGTTTATCTTCTTTGTGTAATGCAATCTCAACAAAAATAAAGTTTATTCGAACATCTTGCAGAAGCGCGTTAAAGCATCGTAGAATCTCTGCCTCGTAAAACACAACAAATAGACAAGGAAATAAGAAAACAACAATACGTATTCGATACGAGATAAGTGCGGGTCGAAACATGATTAACCGCATTAGGTTTCACCAATCCAGGTACTTACCCCACCACGAAATACGTCATCATTAAAGGAAGATTGGGATAAATAAATAATTGCATTTAGGAGTGGTCGTAATGAGCCTCATCATATCCACTCCCAGGGGACGGGAAATCGATATGATGAATTGCTAAACTTTCTTTTTAATCCCATGGAAAATGATTATCTTATTCATTTATTAATGTATTCCAAAACCACATCCGACTTGGTTTGGAACGGTGGATGATATCCTTTATGGTCAGGTAGCAGTCAGGGGCTTTGGTTCAGATGATGTCCTAGTTTGTCAGTGCAAGGGAATCAATTGACCGGTGAAAGTGACGAGTGGTCAGAAAGTACCTTTTGCAAAATATTTGAGTATTCGTAGACCTTAGGAGTTATTCTGTTTTTAACAAGTATAGCTTCGGGGGTATTCGTAACGCCTAGGACACGAAGATAAGCGGCATAGAAAAATGTTGTTCCTAAAAAAGAAGATTAAAAAAAAAGATTTAGCCAGCAGACGATTCAATTTTCTTTAAAGAGTCTATAGATGGATTATGCTATCAGCATGATCATACTTTTTTGTTCTTTCTCCCATACTCTTCATTCCTGTTTTGTATCGCATGTATCTCTATAATTATGTCAGTCTATCTGTGTTTCGTTTTGTCTGCCTCTATAGTACAGGGTATTAAGTTGAAAGTGTACTTAATGTATTCTATAATCGTGCTTTATGTGTTTTTGACGTTATTCTAGGGGTGCTGAATACAAATCTATATTTTGCCATTTTTATAAATGACGTCTTTGGCCGTTGGCAAGGTAACGAATTATATTCCTTTAAAAACAAATCTTTATCATCAAACAACCAACAAATATAATTTAAGTGAATATATTTCCATGTACCCATCTAATCTTTATTTAAAAAATAAACAATTTACCCAGTTCATAATTATGCTTGAATAGTGCAGTTGCCATGGTATTGCACCTATAATTTCTGACGATAAAAACTTAAAACATACATAATTATCGAAATATATCCATTTCATGCTCAAGTTTTAAAATGGATATACTTAAACAGTTCTATATGTTGTTTACATTTTTTTCGTTAGAAAAAAGTTACCTTTAAAAATTACAGGCGCTACCATTGCAACTGACTTATTCGAGCATATAACAATGACCTAGTAAGACTGAAAGTTTTATCAAATTCAAAGGGGTAGCTGAAAATAGTAAAAATATAATTTCGTTGTTTGATGTGAAATAAATATGCTTTTAAAGAAATAATAATAATTATATAGAAGGACTGTAAATTTTACGCTGGGTTCATAAATGTGAGATCTTACAAAGTGCTAAAATTATATGATTTAAAATTACTTTCTGAACATGTCATATGTTTCTATTTATGAACGAGAGTGCGATCTAAATTCAGTTTCATTATTGGGTTACTAAATTTGTAGTTTTGTAGTATGAAGAAACATGACGAAATTAAGTTTTGGTACTATTGAGTTTCAAACCATTTACTTGAGACCAATCTTTGACCGATCGCTGGCAATTTGATATTTCTGTAGTGACATCTACGTCACTATTTATCTTAAATGCGATGTATAGATGTGTATCGTCTGCACAGAACACGCTGCGAGTGTTCTGGGTACCAATTACACTTTCTAAAGGAGATGTATAGATAAAACAAATATTTGTTTCCATGACAACGGCCGAAGACGTCATTAATAAAATTGACAACAGGTAGATTCGTTTTCAGCACCCCCAAAAAGGGGAAATAGCACATAAAACCACATACTACAGAAAATGTGAAGTACACTTTAAAATGTTGACGAGGAGTCGTATACTTCTACCTCACACACTCTCTATCTGTCGTTCACCATGTTACCCCTCCCTTTGCTTCATGTCTCTCCTCTTAGCCGTTCTTCCTCTTTTATTTTTCTCTTCATAATAAGATAAATAGTATTTATCATGTTTATGTTGTTTATCTCTTCATCCCTCTCTCTCTCTCTCTCTCACTTCTTCTTTTGTTAACTCTCACACTATCCCTTCCCTCTCTCTCTCTCTCTCTCTCTCTCTGGACTTCAAGTCAATAGCCTGACGCCTTTATAATTTGTGTTTCACCAAACCCACCAGCTGTTCGCCTTTACCCTTCTTCTAATGGAGTTACCTCTCCAAACATTTACCTCTCCAAACATTTACCAATGTGTAACATTTGGTGGTGTGATAATTGTACACCATTCACTCGCTAAAGCAAAAAACATACACACACACGTCTTATAGAAATTTGATTTTACTTTTTGATTCACGCCCCCTTCCACATATCCTCCAATGTGGTCGACTAATAGAACAAAAGAGGACCGGACGTAGTGCCACAAACAATGTGGCGGCCTCGGGTTGCAATCTGCAGCGAATGAAGAAATCAGAGAAGAAGATAATTTCGTAAATAGTTACAGAATGATTCTTACTCTCTATACCATTGTTGTCATTATCGCACCTCTTTTCCTTTCTCCCCTGCACAGATCGTGAAGATGATAGTCATAGTGGTGGCGGTCTTCGCCATATGTTGGCTACCACTTCACGCCTACCACTTCATGACGTACCTAAACTTTGACGCGTTGACTGTTAAGGGAGTCCGCCACATCTACATCACAATCTGGCTCATAGCCATGAGTAGCGCCATGTACAACCCATTCATTTACTGCTGGCTAAACGACAGGTAAGCTGGTGTCACTCGGCATAGAAGATTTTGTTTCCAAAACATGCTACTTCTATAAAAGTCTTAGTTCAAGTAGTCACCCGAAGAAAATTCACGACAACTGATAATTATGGACAAATCATATATGAATGGAAAGCTTTTCTCTTGAAAAACACGAATAATTTGCTGGAAAATTCATATTGATATCATGGAAAGGCGTAAAATGCAATTTTGTGGCTAGCTGTGTCTTGCATGTACGTCATGAATCTTGACGCTCTACGGAGGACCACTGAAGGCAGAAAATCTGGATCTCAAAAATAGCATTTTTGAGAGATGATTACTGCGGGCTTCAAACATATTTTCAAGAGGGAACTTGTTATATTTGATCAGTAAGGCATCCTCCTTGCAATGATATGAATTTTGCATCGTTTGATTCTTCGGGTGACTACTTTAACTTTTTTTTTCCAGTACAATATTTTGGATGTGTTCATCGTTGGTTTTGAGTCAAATTTATTCTTTATACAACAACAACCTCGTAGATGACTTGACTATCCAGTTGGATGGACGTGTGGATATTTGTATTAGTATCACCCTCATCTTAGTCTAATAACATAGCACTCTTAAAAATCAAGATACCGCAATCGTTGCAATTGCTTTATTATCTTACTTTTAAAAGCATGTAGATGTAGCATGTTTTGGAACAGAAATATGTATTCTACATAAGAACAAAGCACGCAGTGAGGCAAATCATTTTTTTTTTCTAGGAGCGTGAAGGTCACAAGGTGATTATTTTACGTGTCTCCTGCTGCTCTTGGAATCGCCAGTTCCTAGTAAAAGACTTAAGATGTAGCGTCTTTCGGAAGTAAATTAAAATCGGTGCAGCATATTGTGCAACGAAACCCAATTTATGAGCATGATTTTTGTTTAGTTTGCCTATAGGGAAATCAAACTATTGTATTGGATACTCTATTAAACTGACATGCACGTAATGGATAAGTGTCGAGCAGTTTATATTACTCAGGCAGCAGATCTTGAATGTCCAGTACACATTAATACAGACGGCGGGCAATGCCTCGTAAAAAGTACACGCAGACATAGACGTACACCGAACCACTATTTACTTATCTGTGCTGTAAGCTCTAATTGAATGATTTTTTTATTGAATTTCCAACCACGGAAAACGAATTTATTGTTGACATGTTTCGCGCCGCATTTTGACGAGTCCCCAGTCAGTGCATGTCGCTAGTTAATAGAAATCTGTCTCGATCGCTTTAGAATAGACGTTTTGTTCGTAAGCTGCCAATGAAAATCCATGCGTTTTAGCAATGGCGTAATTGTTTTTGATCATTATCTTTCGGACTTCTCTTTTCATGTTTATTTCGCTATATCAGTTTATATGTCGTATTCCCCTTCCTCTTGTCTGCTAACATTACCGTGTCCTTGGTATTAATCTTCTTCTTTTTTCCCTTCTACTTTAATATCATTTATGTTTATACCTTCTTCTTTTTCTTATATTCTTTTTTTCTGCTTGTTCTACTCCATCCTTATGATTTCTATGTATTTGTTTTCATCATCTTCTTCGACATCTTCTTCACGTTAATTTTCTTTGGTTTGTTTTTTACAATATTTTTATATTTCCTACCACAAGTCATAATCGTATTATATCTTAAAGTTGTTTTTTCTCACGTCTATCATCTTTTCCTTTGACCACAACTGGATTTGCTCCTTCTTAAATGTATTTATATTTATATATCTGCATACTTTCTTATATTTCGTCTTCGTATTTTCCTTTTTCTTGTTTTCCATTTTTTCCAGATATTTTGAAGTAATTCGTGATTATTCGGAACGAGTTCTGAGATTGAAGCTCGTGTTGCAGTATTATTCGGGAGACATGCAATCTTAGCAATGTCTTAGAATCGTTGATGTATTGCTGGCCTTTGTCACGCCGGCATTTAATCTGGTTTGTTGCAAAAATAAACCTTCTTGCTTAAGTAGAAACATGTTTTGCACAAGACGAATTAGACGGTATAGATCGTTATTGCACCCCTCACTTCCAAATCCGAAACATTTTGAAACCGGATTCATAATTTCTTCCCCGTAAATGATTGTAACCTTCTACTTGCAAACGCGTTTTCTTTGTGTCTCTCTTTTTATTCCGTCGAATTACCATTTTCTGTGCAACAATGTATATAAGGAAAAATAACCTGAAGGTACAAGGCGTAATCAGTCATTTTAAAAAGAAATCCATACACAAATAAATGATGCGTGTTTCAAACGTCATGTCATAAAGTATGTATGAGCCGTTTGTCACAGTCATGCTAATCACATTTCAGCTGCCCTTTACAACTTACAAATCTTTACAAATGATTTTTGTTTTTAGACATACAGACATCGAGACAATTTCGAACGGAATAAAGACTTTTATAATATATTTTCCTTAACTTCAATCATGGCATATGACATATTTGAGAGAATAACTAATTGTGAGCTCCGTACTAGAGCGAAGTCAATGAGTATACATATTTTACGATAATCCCAACTAAATTGTTTTACACTCAACGCTGTGAACTGATTCGTTTCTCTATATTTCTCTAACTTAATTGTGAAGGTCTTCCTAACCGTTTTTCGAGATACTAAGCTATTTGTTTTTAAGGAATCGGAGATTTTTATATGTCACCCCAGAGCAAACGATGTATTCTTGAATGACGACCTACTTTCGGCAAGCGCCTTGGCCTTGTTTTATCACTAATGACTAATCATCGATATGTTTGTACACGGGGGCTGCCGGCTCATATTACCACCGCAGAGCTGTGCGGGTCGAAAACACCTGATGCGTTTATGGCACACTGTATTTTATAAATCGTTCTTATTCCATTAAGCTGATGGATGGGGTGTCCGATAAAACGTTTTCCCGAGAAGAGGTTGACGTAAAACGGTCGATGTGGGAAATAAGTAAAAACTCATTTAAAAAAGAAGAAAGTCCAAATAATTCACTGTTTAACGATGCAATATCTAGATTCTTGCGGAATGTTATACTTAGTAGAATGATATAAATTAGTATATACTTTGTTCACATCTTATGAAGAAAGCTAACTAAAAATAATTTAATCTCAACTACTTTCGAATAATCAACCTAAAAGGAGTGTAGCTATAAACAAATGGACTTGATTAACGGTAGTCAGCGACTCAATCTCTACATGGTCAGCGTTCGCGAAAGAGACCGAAGTTCTCATCACGCTTCGGTTTCGCGTGTGTTGCACGCACGTGATTGCTGTGGTCGCGTCGTCCGTAGTCGTATTATAACAGATTAGCCCGAGTCAGGCTACGGGAAAGACACGTAGTCGCGTCAGGCTATACACTCCCTTTACGTCAATTTCAGAAGTTCTTTCCATCATGTCCATCACCGTTTGAAATGTACACAAATTACAATGACGTATTACGTTATCCTAATGTGATTACCATATGGGATGTACAATACGATAGGGTCTTCAAATTGCCCTTGAGTTGATGTTGCGAAAGTGATAGTGTAAACCAGAAAGAAATCAAGTAAGGCAAGAAGAAGAAAGACTTATTTATAGAAAGAACATTTAAAACATGTCTGGCCTATTTTGTTTTTACTAAATCATTTGATGTCAGGTGCTTAAGGCCTTTGTACGAAATCTTGCATTGTCTTTTAAAAGTAGCAACTATCCATCTATACAAAATAGGTCTTACTAGCTTACTCAAAGTGTCCAAAGAAAAGTTATCAAATGGAAGATGCTGATGCATTTTAAAGCATGGTTGTATTTATCAGCATTAAATCAAAACACGTATAATAGCCTCCAATCTAAGGAAGAAACTTAATTCAATAGTTTGTTTCCTGAATATTATCAAGCCCGTAAATACGATGGACCCGGTGTGAAAACAAGTAGGTTGACTATTCATGTTCTCAGTATGAAGTTTTTCTTTAACACAATTAACTACTGCTGAAATTTTCATTATTCCAAGGATATTTAAACAAGAGAGCAATGCGCTCTATCGGAGAATCAGTGAAAAATAAAACTCAACCGAAATTATTTGGTTTTGATCAAAGAAATGGAAAGACGTTGCGCAATGCCGGCGTTTAAGCAGCGAATATTCTTATAATGAGTCCACATCTACTCTAGACATTTTACGTAATGTTGGACTTCCATTGTGAGAAAGAGAGAGAGAGAGAGAGAGAGAAAGAGAAAGAATGTATATTGGCAAATTTCTGACGCCATCTACACCATTTGGAATTAAATTCATTGTGGCGCGCTTTTGACGGGAATCACGTTACTATGGTAAAGCGAGGCGTCAAACTCTCGCTGATTTTGGAAGTGGTTTTGTTCGCTTCAACAGCAACGCAAGAACCCCTGTCGTGCGGTCATTGTATGGATGAAATTCCTCCATTTCGTTTCTTTGCCTCCATTTATTTCATTGGTTATGGTTATAAAAGACATATAAAAATAGCATTTCAAGGAGTTCTTCTTTGTTAAACTTAGCGCTCGCCATTCCCTATCTTTCTTTGTTGACTCATTATCATAATTGACGTTCTGATATTAGTCGTATAGTAGTAGTAGTAGTAGTAGTAGAAGTAGTAGTAGTAGATGTAGTATTAGTAGTAGTAGTAGTAGTAGTAGTAGTAGTAGTAGTAGTAGTAGTAGTAGTAGTAGTAGTAGTAGTAGTAGTAATAGTCATGGTAGTAGAGGACGTATCAGTATAACATAGACAAGTAATGTTGCTATACATGATATACGAGGGTGAACCAAATGGAACATTTTCACACTACTGTCTATCCGATATCATCTATTTTTACATCTTCCTCCCCTTTCGTCTCTCTATCTCTATATTCGTATGTGAGTGTGTTTATGTATGTGTGTATGTATATATGTTTGTCTGCCTGAATGTCTGCCTCTTTTTTTCTCTCTCTCTCTTTCTCTCTCTCTCTCTCTCTGTTTCTCGTTCCCTCCCTGCTTCTATCGCGCTTACCTAATATCATTCTAGAGTTTAGTCTTTCGTAG